GTATAGAAGAATGGATAAGTTCAATGAAGGTGATGAAAATTCTTCTTCAAGGTGATGAAAATTCCTGAAGAAGACAGAATTGAGTTTGTTAAGCAGTATTTAAAAGATGAGGCTAAGATGACAGTCAAGTTCATGCTCAATGGAAAGGAGAAGTCAGTGGATGAGATTTTTGATGCTTTGGACCAGACTTATGGGGACAAACTTCCCATTGGCAGCAGACTGAAAGAGTTTTATGACCACAAACAAATGCCTGGAGAAACCATCCGTTCTTACGCTTATGACTTGCAGGAGAAGTTGAGTATCATCCAGAGCCGAGAACCATCTAGAGTTCCTGATGCTGATGGCGTATTGAAGGAACAGCTTGTGTTATGCCTCAAAGATGATTCGCTACGGCATGAAATGAAGAGGAGAGTTAAAGCTGAGAAGGACCTGACATTCATCCAGCTTATGCAGGAAGCTATTACTTGGTCTGAAGAAGAGGAGGTGCAAGTTCCAAGCAATCTGAGAACCAATCATCGTTCACGCGGTGTCGTTCATGCTACCACTGCAACAGAGAGCTCTTCAGCCCCTCTCACCCTGGAGTCACTCCATGAAGCTATTTAACAGATAGCTGCCTTAAAAGATAGTGAAAGAAGATACATCTGCTATACGTGTGGTAAGCCAGGGCACACAAGCCGACGTTGTCTTCAGAGCAGAGAAAACTCTAGTAGAGTGCAACCTCACACAGCAGAGGTGGAAAAGACGGCTGACCGAGACACGTCAGTGCTAGAGTGCCCGGGTCCATCCGTTATTAGAAGTCATACTGCGGACTGTGATACAGAGAATGTTTCCAAGTCCCTTTATGAAAGTGCTTTTGGAGATTGCATAACCATTGAAGTGAAAATTGCGGGTATCAGGACTATCTGCCTCTTGGACACAGGGTCAGAAGTGACTACTATCACTGAGTCACATTTTAAGAATCACTTTGGAGAAGTTGTGCTGTCGTCCGCCAACTGGGTCCGACTTACAGCAGCAAATGGCCTAGACATTCCTATCATTGGATGTCTGGAAGCAGACATAGAGTGTATGGGGAAGACGTTGCATGGAAAGTGCGTGTTTGTGATAAAAAAAAGCGATTCCAATAGGACAGAGTTGAAAGGATTGCCTGGCATTGTTGGGATGAATGTGTTAAGTGAAGTTAAGGATCTATTCATGACCACTGAAGACATGAAGAAGATGGACAGGTATAGCCATGGTTTCAAGGAGGCAAAGGTCCAGCGAGTGTTGGCTAACATTAAGATGCAGACTGAGGTGGAGATTGCATAACCATTGAAGTGAAAATTGCGGGTATCAGGACTATCTGCCTCTTGGACACAGGGTCAGAAGTGACTACTATCACCGAGTCACATTTTAAGAATCACTTTGGAGAAGTTGTGCTGTCGTCCGCCAACTGGGTCCGACTTACAGCAGCAAATGGCCTAGACATTCCTGTCTTGTAAGCATTCACCAGGAGGCAGTGGTCTTTTTTAGAACATTGTTTTTTTTTTCAAATCAAACACAACATTACTTTGCCATTGCTGTCACTCATCGCATTCACGGATATTCATTTTACATTAAGTTATTACCAAGCCTGGTCACATAACTCAATAAAGTCATTTGTTACTGATGGTATGTCGATACTCTTTTCTTTTGTCTTCTTTTTTTTTTTTTTTTTTTTATATAGGTTCAGCCGCTCCGCAGGCTTACTTACTCTGCCTGATCTAGTGATGTTAGGTTTCCTTACAATGTTCTCTGCAGGTAAATCAGAGTCCACCCGAAGTTGAACGTTCTGTGATGACTGTTCTGAACTAACTTTCTGTGGTGACTGTTCTGAACTCTCCCCAGTCTTCATAGTAATTCCTGGAACCTTTTCTGGCAGCAACTGAAGATGCCTGCGATTTCTCCTTTTCTCTCCCTCTTTTTCACTGAAGACCTCGTATGACCTTGGAGTAGCACTCTCTGCCAACACCGTAGCAGGTCCCTTCCACTTTGCTTCATTGTCTAACTTTAACAAGACTGAATCCCCTGGTATAAGAACTGGTAAGTCTTTCACACCATGTCGTCTGTTAAAGTAGTACGCTTGTTTTTCTTTTGCTGCTTTGTCTCTCTCTTTTATGCTTGATTTGCTTGGCCACTTTGGTCTCAGGTTTCTTGGTAAGGTGGGTAGGGAAGTACGCATTTTCCTTCCCATGAGCAATTCTGCCGGGCTGACCCCTGTAGAGGAGGTAGGGGTAGCTCGAAAACACATGAGTGCTACCACTGGGTCGTCCTGTTTCAGAATGCGCTTCGCTGTTTGAACTGCCCGTTCAGCGTGTCCATTGCCCTGTGGATTGTGCGGACTTGATGTAATGTGCTGAGTATCGTACATATCACAGAAGCTTCTCCAAGCTTCGCTGGAGAACTGCGGTCCATTGTCACTAACAATTTGTTCTGGTATGCCAAGCCTTGCAAATAACGCTTTAAGTCTTTGAATAACATGCTCTGATGTAGTAGACTGTAGCAGAAGGATCTCCAAGTAGCGCGAATAATAGTCCGATACCACCAGATATTGTTTCCCTTTATGCATACACAAGTCTATGGCTATTCGCTGCCATGGCCTTTCTGGCAGAGGTGTTGACTGTAGAGGTTCCTTGTGCTGTGCACGTTTATTTTTTATGCAGAACCTGCATGTCTCTATTTTGCGCCTAAGATCCTCAGAAATTCCGGGCCACCATACAGCCTCTTGGGCCCGTGCCCTGCATTTTGATAAGCCTTGGTGACCTTCATGAATTCTGTCAAGCATCTCGTGTCTCATAGTTTTTGGAATTACAATGCGATTCCCCAGCACAATCAGTCCATCACTCACTGACAAAGAGTCTTTCCATTTGTAAAAACTCTGTACACTGTTAGGAACACTTTTGGCGTATTCTGGCCATCCTTTCGTAATTAATCTCTCCACAGTTTGTAGCTGCTCATCCTTCTGTGTCTCCATTTTTATTTCTGTCAACTTGCGTTAAGACACTGGCAGACAACTGATGACTGCATCTACATGACAACTCACATCTGCTGTCATAAAGTCTTCCGTAGTGTTTAACGGGCTTCGCGACAATGCATCTGCGACAACCAAGCTTTTTCCTGGTGCATACTCTGCTTTTGCATTAAACCGCATGAGTCTCATCAAAAGTCTCTGACATCTCACTGGCACAGTGTCTAGATCTTTACTGTTGATCAGCGGTATTAGTGGCTTGTGATCCGTGATTAATTTGAATGTGTCCATGCCCACCAAGTACTTCTGGAACCTTTCGCACGCCCATACGCCTGCGAGGCATTCCTTCTCTATCTGGGCGTATCTTGTTTCAGACCCTGTCAACCTTCTAGAACAGTATGCAACCGGTTTCCAGCTGTTGTCATGCTTTTGCAGTAAAACACCCCCGATACCATAGCTGCTAGCATCCACTGATACCACTGTTTCTTTAACCAGATCATAATGTGCCAGGACTGGAGCTTTAGTGAGCAAACTTTTAAGAGTGCTGAATTCGCTTTTCTGTGGTTCCTCCCACGTCCATGCCCTTTCTTTCTTGAGCAGCTCATACAAAGGTCCTCCTGTCATTGCCAGATCAGGGATGTATTTGCTCATGTAGTTTATGAGGCCTAACGCCCTTCTCAACTCATTTACGTTGTTTGGCTCTTGCAAATCACTTATCGCACGCACCTTTTCGGGGTCTGCTCTGACACCTTGTGCATCCACAACATGTCCAAGAAAACTCACTTCTGCTTTCCTGAATACGCATTTGTCTTTAATCAATTTGAGACCCACACTTTCCATCCTTTCCAGCACTCTTTTCAAGTGATCGTCGTGCTCTGCCATGTCCTTCCCATACACAATCACGTCGTCCATGTACACAGCAACTCCTTCCATGTCAGCTAGAAGCTCATTCATTTTTCGTTGAAAGATTTCTGGGGCTATGCTGATCCCGAACGGCAGTCTCTTAAAACAATAGCGCCCCACCGGAGTGATGAATGCTGTCAGCAAACTGCTCCCATTACATAATGGAATCTGCCAAAATCCTGACGCTGCGTCTAGTGATGTGAAGATGCTTGCTCCAGCTAATTTAGCTAGGATCTCGTCCGTCGTGGGCAGTATGTATCTCTCTCTTTTTATGTTGTCATTCAGTTTATTTAATCCATGACCGGTACCATGGGTGCACACCAATCTGTAGGCTGTGTGACTCTTTCCACGACACCTTGTTCCTCCATTCTCTGCAGTTCTGCTTTAACCTTAGGAAGTAGTGGAAACGGCACCCTCCTCGCGGTATATACTGCATATGGCACTGCGCTTCTTTCAGGTGAATTTTTACCGGCTCTGTTTTCATTGTACCACCTCCCTCAAAAACTGTGCTTACTTGCTCTACTCTCTTGACTAGCCCCATTTCAGTGGCTGTCTGTCGGCTTAGGAGGTTACTGACAGTTTCCCCTGCCACTACATACACGGTCATGGTGCACTTTCTACCCTTATGCTCCGCTCTTGCCGTAAATTTTCCAATACAATTTAGTGAACCACCTGGGCTGTTCAGAATTATGTTTGAATGACAAAGCTGAGCTCTTGGGGTAAGTTTTTCGAATGTTACGGTATTCAGTACAGTAACATCTGCTCCCGTATCTATGTTAAAGGTAACTGGGGTATCACCTACCTTAAGTGACACTGTCCATTTAGCTTCTTCTGTCTCATTTTTGTTACTCACTGCGCCCAGGTAGAAGCTCTCTTCACTCATTTCTTTTGCTGTCACTTGCCTCACAGTTTTTGATTTGCACATTCTCGCCCAGTGTCCTTTTCTTTTGCACATTCTGCATTCCGTGTCTACCGCTGGGCATCTTCTGATGTCTTTGTGTCCTGTTTTACCACATCTGCCACATTCGTTTGCTGTATTGTCCCTCCTTTTCTCACTGCCTCTTTTGTGTTTCTCTCTTGTCCAGGGCCTTTCCGCCACCTTTGATGAATGCCTGAATGCTACCTCCTGCACACTGCCTGTTGACTGCCCCTCCTGCTGGCTGATCTGCTGTGCAACATCTTCGGCCTGCCTTGTCATCTGCACTGCAGTTTCCAGGGTAAGTTCTGTCATTAACTGCATTTTTCTGGAAAGCTCTTTATCCCGAATTCCGACAACCAGTCTGTCTCTTATATGTTCATTTCGGCTTGCCCCGAATTCACAGTTCTCACTAAGTTCGTAGAGGGCTCTAATATAACATTCTGCCTTTTCTCCAGGCCTCTGCGCTCTCTGGTGGAAACATGCTCGCTCGTGTATCACATTCTTTTTTGCCAAAAAGTATTCGTTAAATTTTCCAAGCACTGTATCATAATCGTCAGCACTTTCCTCAGCCGTGAATGTGAATGATTTGAAAATGTTCTCAGCTTCAATGCCCATAGCATATATTAGAGTACTGATCTGTACCTCTTTATCTTCTTTGCTCAATTTTGTAGCAGTTCTGTAGCGTGCAAACCTCTGCCGCCACGTAGACCATTCCGATGGACGATCAAAGTTAAAACTTTCTGGTGGATTAAATTTCGACATGTTCCTCTTCTCTTGTCCTTATACTTCTGACACCATGTCTTGTAAGCATTCACCAGGAGGCAGTGGTCTTTTGAGGCTTTACTGAAGAACAACTCGGAACAGCAGCTTACTTCTCATCTAGATTCAGAACACAGACTCCCCCTCCTGGTTTGTGACTTGCCCCTACAGCACTCCTTGAGTCCCCCTAGTGGGCTGGATATAATATCACGCATCTCATAGCTATTACAATACCATGACAATTCCCATCATTGGATGTCTGGAAGCAGACATAGAGTGTATGGGGAAGACGTTGCATGGAAAGTGTGTGTTTGTGATCAAAGAGAGCGATTCCAATGGAACAGAGTTGAAAGGTTTGCCTGGCATTATTGGGATGAATGTGTTGAGTGAAGTTAAAGATCTATTCATGAACACTGAAGACATGAAGAAGATGGACAGGTATAGCCATGGTTTCAAAGAGGCAAAGGTCCAGCGAGTGTTGGCTAACATTAAGATGCAGACTGAGGCACTGAGCTGTGGTGACAAGATTGGCTTCGTGAAGGTTGCTGGCAAGCAAGCAATAACTATTCCTCCATTTAGTGAACGTGTTTTGGAAGGCCGCTGCAGAATACCCCCAAAAGTGAGCTGCCAAGTGTTGGTGGAGGCCTCGTCAAATGTCAGCTTGCCGAAGAGTGTTCTGATTGCTAATGTGCTCACCAAGACAGTCGATGGTAAAGTCCCAGTCAGAGTGTTGAATTCTAGTGAAAAGCCAATTGTGACTTCGGTTATACAACTGCTGTCACACAAGAGTGTTCTGATTGCTAATGTGCTCGCCAAGACAGTCAATGGTAAAGTCCCAGTCAGAGTGTTGAATTGTAGTGAAAAGCCCGTAAAGCTCCCACCACGATGTAGGATCGCTACGCTGTCCAAGCCACAGGAAGTTGTGTCAAAAGTGCTTGTCGAGTTTGAAGAGAAAGAGGATGCTTTGCATGTTAAGGCTGTGCAGCAACATCAGGTGAAAGTGGAGGTAAGCACCACAGAGCAGCTGCCAGTTCCAATACAAATTAATCTAGAGAACCTCACAGAAACACAACGTCGCAAACTCCAGGACTTACTGGCTAAGCACAGTGATGTGTTTTCGAAGAACGATTGTGACTTCGGTTATACAACTGCTGTCACACGTAGTGTTCCAACAGGAGATGCTCCTCCCATTAAGCAAAGACATCGCAGAATTCCACCTCAGGTGTTTCAGGAAGTGAAAAAACATGTTCAAGATTTGGTGTCTCAAAGTATTCTCAGAGAAAGCTGTAGTCCGTTGGCATCTCCAGCGGTGATTGTGATTAAGAAGGATGGCAGCGTACGCTTTTGCTGCGACTACAGAAGGTTGAATAAAGTGACCTGCAAAGATGCTTATCCTCTCCCTCGCGTGGAGGAATCGCTGGATGCCTTGGGAAATGCACAGCTGTTCTCCACCCTTGATCTTACCTCCGGGTATTTCCAAGTGGCGATGAGTGAGGAGGATAGAGCAAAGACAGCGGTCACCACTCCCTTTGGACTGTTTGAATGGACCAGGATGCCATTCGGACTTTGCAATGCGCCTGCGACATTTCAACGTCTGATGGGGGTGATGCTCGGTGATCTAACGCTTGACATACTGCTCATCTACCGTGATGACATTATCATATTTTCAAAAGACTTTGAAAGCCATTGTCAAAGACTGGAAATAGTGTTCAACCGGTTGAGACAGCATGGTTTGAAACTAAAACCCAGCAAGTGCTTCCTTTTGAAACCCGAAGTGAAATTCTTGGGTCACCTAATTTCCTCCCAGGGAATAAAGGTGGATGGAGAGAAAACTCGGGCATTGGAATCCTGGCCTGCACCCACGAATGTCAAGGAGTTAAGACAGGTCCTTAGATTCATGAGTTATTACTTGACTTGCCGTGGAAGCGGACTAAGGAAGTGACGTCGCGAGGTCGTCTTGATTATTCTCTCCCTCGCGTGGAGGAATCGCTGGATGCCTTGGGAAATGCACAGCTGTTCTCCACCCTTGATCTTACCTCCGGGTATGTCCAAGTGGCGATGAGTGAGGAGGATAGAGCAAAGACAGTGGTCACCACTCCCTTTGGACTGTTTGAATGGACCAGGATGCCATTCGGACTTTGCAATGTCGGTGACAAGGAAAGTCCCTGGATATAGCTGGAGTGATATAGGAGAGCAACAAAAGATCGACCCTCATATAGCTCCTATCTACCGTGCTGTACTAACCAACAAGAATCTGAGTCCAGTTGAGCAGCGCAATATAGATGTTGAGTTAAAAAAGCTTGCTAGACAATTCATACGACTCAAGTTTACAAAAGGAGTGATGTTCCGTACTATCTTTGATCCCCGGGACGGAGAAGAAATTTGTCAATTAGTGGTTCCAGAACCTTTGCGTTACAAAGTGTACGAGAGTCAGCATGATCATTGTGGCCATTTTGGAGAAAGAAGCACGCTGGAGCGCATGAGGCGGAGCTATTACTGGTCGACAATGAGCAAGGACATTCAAAACTGGATTCAGGAATGCAAGAGATGTGCCCTGGCAAAGGATGTTTTTCCTAAAATACGAGCCCCAATGACATGCACTAATGTATCTGCCCCGCTGGAAGTCCTTGCTATGGATTATACGGTCTTGGAGGAATCTGTGGGAAGATATGAAAATGTCCTTGTCTTAACTGACACATCTACTCCCTTGCGTTACAAAGTGTACGAGAGTCAACATGATCATTGTGGCCATTTTGGAGAAAGAAGCACGCTGGAGCGCATGAGGCGGAGCTATTACTGGTCGACAATGAGCAAGGACATTCAAAACTGGATTCAGGAATGCAAGAGATGTGCCCTCGCAAAGGATGTTTTTCCTAAAATACGAGCCCCAATGACATGCACTAATGTATCTGCCCCGCTGGAAGTCCTTGCTATGGATTATACGGTCTTGGAGGAATCTGTGGGAAGATATGAAAATGTCCTCATCTTAACTGACATGTTCACTCGTTTCACGGTAGCAGTGCCAACCAGAAATCAGACTGCCCACACCACGGCAAAAGCCCTTGTGCAGCATTGGTTTGTCCACTATGGCTGTCCTGCACGACTACATTCCGACCAAGGTCGGTGTTTCGAAGCAAATGTCAATCAAAGAACTGTGTAAAAATCAGAAAGAGTCACACAACTCCGTATAACCCGCAGGGTAACTCCCAGTGTAAAAGATTTAATAGAACCATGCACGACATGCTAAGGACGTTACCCCTGGAAAAGAAAAGGAATCGGAAACAGTATCTACCCGAGTTGGCTATGGCATGCAATAGCCGAATCCACACTTCAACCGGCTATTCGCCATTCTACTTAATGTTCGGAAGGGATGCCAGAATGCCGATGGACATTCTTAATGGGAGAGACTTGGAGGACAGTGGAGTTGACAATCTCGATGACTGGGTGAAAAACCGTTGAAGTAACAGCTGTTGAAGTAGCCAACTCGGCAGCACAGGAGACTTCAAGGCGGAGAAAAAGAGCCTATGATCGTAGATCGCATGGCGCACTAATGAGACCTGGTGACCGTGTTCTGTTACGGAACCATTCACATAGGGGAAGGAATAAGATCCAAGATCATTGGGAACCCTTGCCTTACACTGTAGTGAAACAGAATCACGCAGACACTCCAGTTTACACAATTCGCCCAGAGAAAGGGGCCCCATGTAAAGGATTCGCCCAGAGAAAGGGGGCCCATGTAAAGTTGTACATAGGGACCAACTCAAGCATTGCACTTTTCAGTCATCACTACCACCTTGCACATCTAGACGTGAATCTAGAGCGCACACAGGTCAGGCACACACTGATTCAGAAGATCCCGATGTTCTTGCAGTCCCTGTTGTTACATTTGCACCTGCTACACTCACAGACACACAAGGTGGAAGGGAAGGTGGGAATGAATCAGAGACAGGTATCAGGAACCATGACAATGAAATGTCAGCTGATGATTCAGTAGATCAGTCTGTGCTTGAGTCCGTAAATTCAGGTGGTTCCGAAGCTGAAAGTGAAAATGAAAGTATTCCTGAACCTAGACGTTCACAGCGTTCGAACAGAGGTACTTTACCTGTTAGGTATAGGACTGACTATGTCTTGAAATAAGCTTATGCAAACCTGAAGTTTTTGGAAGTTTCTTTTAAGGTGAAGGTTTTTCAATCTTACTGATTGAAAGCTTTTCATTGTTGTACTGATGTTTTCTTTTGTGAAAAAATGTTTACCTGCTATTCTCTGTTCTTTATTTTTCAGGACTGAGTTGCTGAATGGAAGTCCGGTGGCATGGTAGGGATTAGCAGGGGGGAATGTAGGGGATCTACAAATTCTATTACGTGGAGACTTTTATTTTGACTTTCGACACGGGCGCCGCCATGTGGGGGAAGGCTGCTACAAGTAGCAAGGGGGGAAGTAGCACCTGAGCTCGTTGAGGCTGTGGATCTGAGCAGCGGCGAGCTGAAGAACGTCCTTGGATAATTTTATGACGCTAATGGGTTGCGTTTAGACCCGCGACCTGCCTTACAGTCGCACAGTGTTGTATCTGAGTCTCCGGTTGTTTGATGACCGTTATTGAACGTGTCGGGATAGTTTTTCTGCCGTGTTCGCACGTGAAGTTTGTTTTTGTTCAAACTAACTTAAATCACGTGGGATACAGTTGCTTAGTGTACTAGAAGAATTCGCTGAAGCGTCGAGAGGTGCTGTGTATTGTTCGTCTTCGCAATCTGATCTCCGTCAGCTGGGGATTGTGCCTCATTGGATCGTGTTGAAGCTGTCAGGATCACGGGGGAGGGTAACGATCGCTGAGAGTCAAAGAGTGAAGAAACATTACCCTGTCATCCATTGGATTTCATTCAGCGTCTCATCCTCAACCAAAGAGAGGTGATATACATTATTTTCTTCATTTGATTCTGAATGCTGGTAAGCAAGTCATTGTTTTCTCTTCTGTGAGTGTTAAGAACTGAACTGTGTACAAGTGAATTTTCCTGCAAGGGGAATTCATATAATTTCTTTTTCTTGCACTTGGAGGGACTTTTTGACTCGTGAAATTTTGAATGGACTGGAAATAATCTCTTTTCTTTTT